TTGGCTACACAGAAAGGAGAATTCTACTGCCTGAGGGTTATAATCCCTAGGTGCGGCCGAAGGCCGCCTACGCAGAAAGGTGCTCTCTGCGAAAGGTTTTCAGCCCCCCTTCTTTCGCCTGATAACCACCTTGGGATAACTTCTTTTATTTAAAAACCCCAAAGATTCTCTTAGTTGGGTTATATTCCACTTCAAACTGCTCAATTTCCCTCGGTAAATGCTGTTTTTCGTCCATTTTCAAACGGTTCCCCAGGGGTCTGTGGGAGGCCACGAAGGGGGAGATGCGACTTTTCGTAAAGCGGGAGCTGTCCCCTTTCGAAGGAGGGGGATTTAGGGGGAAACGCCCCTCCCCCACCGCCTCTTACCCCAAAAACGACGTGCAAATAACTAAACATTTCCCAAAATTTGCCTTAGTATCGGGTTTCGATACGAGTATTTGTTTTTTCGGTACCTACTCGGTACTTGGTTCAAAAATATCGATGCCAAAATTACTTAGTATCGAACGAAAAGTATCGAGTATGTACTTGTATTTACTCGTATCGTTTCATTCCTGTCTGTAATGTCTAGAAATTTTTTACGAAAAATATTCCAGCGAAAATAAATAGTAAACCAGTTGATTGTCAATTTAATCTACCCGAAACTAATAAGGGAAAACCATTATGAAGCTACAATTTAAGGTGACACATCAAGAAAAAAGAAACACTAGAGGAGAGTACATACCAAGGTCCAGAATTGAATATGTTTTTGTTTCAGTTTTTTTGGAGAAGGATCTTATGCTATAAACTGAAGGAAAAGCTATTTAACCTCGTATTGAAGTGAAAATAAGGTGTTCAAACATGCAGTGCCGTGCCTGTATGCAAATGGACTGCGTCGGAGGTGTGGAAATGAGTAGTGCCGTATCGGCAGATGGGAAAACATTGTACGATTACTTTAACGATTGTACACAGCTCCATGCAACATCCACTGACAATCTTCCACAACTATTATGCTTAAATTGCACACAAATTGTGCGTTCAGCCTATAATTTCAAGGAAATCGCTCGTCGCTCTGATGAAGAACTGAGGAACATTTTAGTTTTTCCAAAAACTGAGCCTGAAATGATTTATGCCAACACTGAGCAACCGCAAGTATGAAATACACATTTTGTATTTGTTTAAAAATTATAATTTAATAAAGTCAAAATGCTTTCATTAGGATGCTGTGGAATGCACAAATGATCCCTTAGCTACGATACAACCAAGCCCTGTTGCTATTGAATCGTTAATGAGCATACCTGAACTAGATATACCTACGATAGACATTAAATTTGAGAATCCTGAGGAATTATGTCAAGAATCACAAGGTGACGAAAGGGGTGATAGTGAAGTATTGAGAGACAGAGTGACGCATCCTTGTAATTTATGTGATTGCATATACACTACAAAAAAGGAGCTAAAAAATCATATTTTTGACATGCATAAGCGTAAGTTTTTCTTTTTAATCAATCATAACGTTTGTCACATTTAAGTTTCCAATCATATCTGAATCTGGTTAAGTGGATACAGTAATTTCTCTTTGTAGCGCATATTATCTGCATTAAATGTCCAAAGTTCTTTGACTTTCCCAAAGAGCTACAACTGCACGAATCTCTTGTTCATGCAACTGAATCACCAATGCAATGCCCCTGGTGCAAAGAGTATCACCCAAGAGAGGTCTTTAATAAACATTTGCGGTCCAAGCACAGCAATTCCTATTCCAAATATTTTCCGGGAAATGAAATAGGTGATCGTGGTTCTGGTGAGAATACCTCGTTTCGTTGTGAGCATTGTGAGAAATACTTCTCATCCGTTCTCGAGCTAGCCGATCACATTCAAGAGCACACATTTGATTGCCCATTATGCTCGAAGAGATTTAAAAAATATGGCACTTTCAGGGCACATGTTAAACGTAAACACAATCATTCTATAAATAGTTTAAAAGCTATAACTTCTGAGGAGAAAGACAAAAATAAGCCCTTTCAATGTTCCATATGTTCCACGCAGTTCAAACAGCAAAGATCTTTTCGTGATCATATGAAACGTAAACATAATCAGATCATTAAAAAGCCTGAGGAGGAGGAAAATAAGCCATTTAAATGTTCCTTATGTTCAAGACAGTTCAATCAGAAAAGATCTTTTAAAGATCATATGAAACGTAAACATATTCAAAGTATTAAAAAGCATGCCGAAGACGATGAAGAGGATAAACCGTATAACTGTCCAATCTGTAATATGTGCTTCAAAAGCCATAGCGCCGTCTATTGTCACAAGAGGCGGAAGCACCCCGACAGCGCAACAACAGCTGAAGGCCATATAAATGCAAGCAGTAATATCGGTACTGAAAAAGTGGAAAACGAGAATACTGAAAACAGTGAACTAATTAGATGTAAATTTTGCAATAAGGAAATACCCGGTAATCGAATAAAATATCATGAAAAACGACACATTTATGCTCTGAACAGAAAAAGAAAATACCTTTGTTCATTTTGCCGTAAGTAGAGATCGAATTTAAGCCACCTTAATAATCAAATCAAATAATTCGATAAATCAGATTTAATCAGTTTAAAATACATTATGAAATTGAAGCTTATGAATCTGTGGTCATACGCGATAACCGCCTAAGTCGAAAAATCTGAATTCGAGAAAAAACATTTTAAACATTTGGATTGTAATGTTAACCTTATGGGGAAACCAAAATATGTTCGTCTATAACTTTTTAAGTAGCCTAGCTGGCGAGATGGGAACTTCACATGCACATGGAATAGTAGTTGGAGAATACGATAGCATATATAACTCAATTCTTTCTTAAGTTGACTAGGTGGTTATTGCTTATGACCACAGAAATAAATCGCCATCGCGTATGCAAGTACATTTTTATGCATATGTACATATGTACTACTTATTTAAGAAAAAATCACTGAATAATTCTTTGCTTTTGATTTGTTTGACGTTTACAGCCCGAGAATTTAATTCTGGAACTTCGGTTAAGTTGCATGAAAAGAAGATTCATCTGCGAGAAAAGCCCGAACCAAAGGAGTGTCCAATATGTCAGAAAGAAGTCGATCCAAATTATCTTAAACATCATATTGACAATGTTCATGCTTCAGAGCGAAAGTTTATCTGTGCTTTTTGTGGCGATTCGTTTAGAAGTAACGTGTTGCTTCACTACCATAAACGATTGCATTTAGAGCGCAAATTTCCATGCACTATATGTACAAAAAAGTTCATACGCTCAAATGAACTTAAAGTACACATGCGTAGTCACACTGGAGAAGAACCGTACGCATGTCATATATGTGATCGACGTTTTAAAATCAAAGTTCGACTCAACTATCACTTGCAGCGGCACGCTGGAATTAAACGAAAATGCAAAGAGTGCGGAAAAGAGTTTAATCACGTCAAGCAATTGAAAATACATTCTTATAAACACACCGGCATGCCCTATAGGTGTTCAGTGTGTAGTTATGCTTGCGCACAACGTGATGTGTAAGAAGTTGAAAATTCCTATGTTTCGTAATATTATTTAATTTATTGTAACTGAAATATTTCAGATTTAGGAATCATTTATTGCGAATGCACGATATGACAATGACTCCGGATGAATATTGTGCGATGTTCAAGGCAAATACTGGTCGGAATCCCCACGTTAAAACTCTGGAGGAATTGCAATCCGGGGCGCAGAATATGGAGCAAGAGGAATTATTAAACTAATATTAAAAGTTATGACCTAAGTAGAATAACGGAAGATTATTTATTTTAATAAACTTAACTTGGTTTTGTCAATAATGGGTTGTTTTCATGGTTACATCCCTAGCCACAAATACGGTTGACAAACAAGACTCGATTATTTGGGCATACATCAAGATAACCAACCATTCAGCTATGGAAAAACTACAAAATGCAGATCGATAGTTCTCTACGCTGATTTCAACTATATAAAGATTATTTGGCGCAGTTGAATATTAAAGATATAAGAGGTTAAAAAAATTTTGTGATATTTTAGAATATTAATAAACTACGTAGCCGATTATAAAGGTAATGATGTCTAAATAAAGACAATTAATTTATCTTGAAGTCGATATATAAAACATGTATTCTTGTTTATATATTTAAGCCAAAAATATTAAAAATCAAAATTTTTATATATTTATAATTTTCTCAGAAAATAACCTTTTTTGGAAAAAGTGCATAATCAAGGAGAAAAACATTTATATTATTTAGAAAGTGCAAGTTCTTAGCTTTAATTTGATATACATTTAGAGCGTTTTCCAGTGCATGGCTTAAGTGTAAATGCGCGAGCTGATTGGTTTAAACTAAGATTAGCCAATCGAATGTCTGCCCAGCTATTCAATATAGACGCAATTTACGTAATCTAATTTTAAACTGGCACTGAAAAGCACTCCCTAAATACATTTGACAAACGGGCTCGATTATTTGCATAAACAGCCTTTATTTGCTTTGACTCATCCTTTTTCCTCTTTAAAATACGCATAAGCAGCTGATCAAATGCACGCAATTATTGGGAATTATGGGGAATTTGCATGGCAACACTGGTTGACTGACGAAAACGAGCGGTCAGCGGTAGCCGAGCCTGTGTTGTTGCTTTGCATGTGTTTCGTCATTTAAGGTCGGTGTTACGCTGACAAACTTTTGTTTGGCAAACTAAATGGCGGCTGCTTAGTTTGCTCTGAGGTGGTTATGTCGAGTTTGGCACAAGGTTGCACATAGGTTGTGGTTTCTGTAGTTATAGCCAACACGAAATGTAAATTGCAGATGTACATATCGTGCAAAACTTTATAATTTTAATAATATTGTATACGCAATTAACAGTGCCCTAAACAACAACAGTGTTCTTTTGTAGCTTGGTTGCAAAAGAATGCACCTTATGTATGGGAGTGTACAATCGATAGTATCTTTTCGATATGGTCTGCCATTTCTTGCAGGGTTGCGAGTATTTTTTCCGATACCGATGCTGGAATTATACCAGGTGAAATATTAGAGTAAGAAGAAAGATTTTGACACTGCCTCATTTGAACATTTGCCTAAAAAATTTTACTAAATATAAGGCAGCCGAATGTCAGAAAATAAAGCTTTTAAGTGCGCCATGTCGATACCTACTCAGTACTTGGTTCAAAAGTATCGATACCAAAATTACTTGCTATCGAACTCGTATCGTTTCATCCAAGGTGTATTTATTGCATCCCTATCCTTGCCATTTTTGGGGCAATAAGATTAAAAATAGGTTATAAATAAGTGAGAAAAACTTGACAAAATGCAATGCCGTGCGTGCATGGACACCGATGGTGAATTCACGGAAATGAGCCTATCTACGCAGGGGGATGGTAAGACGCTTTACGACTACTTTAACGCATGCACCCAGCTTCACGCCACAGACGGCGACAATCTGCCAAGATCTCTGTGCTCACGGTGTGTCCAAGATGTCCAAATATTCTTTAACTTTAGGCAAAAAGCTCACAAATCAAATGATGAACTAAAAAGACTATGCACTGTACATGAACTAAAATTAGAACAAATTTATAATGAGCAGCTAGAGGTATGTACGTATTTAGATAACTACATTTTATTACGTTGATATATGTATGTATGTACATATGTATGTATGTATCTCACATCGTCGCTGTAATACAAAAAGCTGTAACTAACTAAAAATTCAAAATTCATTTTTTGATTGATTATGATGCATTTCATCATTTCAGTCCACCAAAGTGTTTTCTGCATTTCACCGACGATGTGAGATACGACCTTTCTAAAAAGGTAATATTGGAATTTTAATGCTCTCACCCCCTTAGATTATTCTATATCGAAAAAAGCATACCTGTTTTTTTTTATTGGAACTATAAAATGTAATAAGGGACCCATAAAAATCGCTAATATTAAACACTATTGATTTTCAAAAATTCTAAAATATTTCCGCGAAAAATCCCACTAGAACTTGAAGGGAGATCTCCCAATGTGAGGAATAGAAGAGTGTAGTAAATCGTAATTATTTAATGAATAATGAAAATTTACAAAGATATGTTATTCAATTGCAAACAGAAATAAAACTCCTAATTTTTCAATCAGTAAAATAATTTGACAAAAAGTGCAAAGCTTTTTAAAGAATGGAAAAAAAACGCAAAGTCAATAATCAAGTCTCGAACACTCTGTTTATCCATTTGTAACATTCCTCCCCCTTTAAAATCTGACGTAGTCGTCAAATTTTTTAGTCTGTCCTCTATTTCCTCGTACTGGATAACGGTGTTGATCCTGAATGGTTTTTAGAGCCCTGAATGTCTTCTTTTAGAAAGTCGTCCATCCCTTCCTGATTTTCCTCAAAATTTGTTTCTCCAGCGGATTCAATAATTCCTTGATTTCCTGGTTCTGGAATAATATTAGGTTCAACTTCATCCCTCTGTCTAGCTGCAGCTTTTAGTGATAGATTTTCTTCGAAATCTGGCAATTCGAACAACTCTAGCATTTCATTGTTAGAGTAACGGCGCTTAAGTTGGTTAGCGTGAGCTTTGACAATGCGATTACCCGAAGGTGTTATAACATCCACAGTATAATTGACAGCCCCATTTCGACTTTTAATTATACCTGGAACCCATTCCCACACTTTGCTAGTTGAATGAAGCTGATAGTAAACCTCATCATCAACATTGAACTCTCTCCATTTCGCACCATGGTGGTGATCTTCCATTTTCGTGCTTGAAATCGAATTTGAAAGGTTTTTTGGCTTCAGAAGATCTAATTTTGTTCGCATCGGACGGCCTGTCATCAATTCAAACGGCGATTTCATTCCAAGATGGTAAGAAGGTGTATATCGATATGAAAACAAGAATTCGCGTAACTTCTGGTCAATATTCCCTGCTGCCTTTCCAATTCCTTTCTTAAATAATTCTACAAATCGTTCTGCCTGACCGTTTGACTGTGGACTGTAAAATGAGGTCGTCAAATGTTTGATGCCTTTAAATTTACAGTAATCTTCAAATGTAAATGAAACAAACTGTGGTCCGTTATCGGTGACACAAATTTCACATAAACCTTGGTGCGCAATTACATCATCAAACATATCAACAGTTTTCTCACTGGTGGTTACTTTAGTTTTGATAATCTCCGGCCACTTGCTAACAGCATCGACGATAATCAGAAAGTAATAATTGTCTATTGGACCAGCGTAATCGAGATGAACTCGAATCCATGGTGCTATTGGCATTGGCCAAGGGTGCAGAGTGCACTTGATTGGTGTTTTCGCTGCCTTAGCACAGCTATCACACGATTTCACGATCTGTTCAATATCTTTAAAGAATGGAAAAAAAACGCAAAGTCAATAATCAAGTCTCGAACACTCTGTTTATCCATTTGTAACAAAGAGTACTCCCTTTGGCCTGATTTCGGAGCAATAGGAGACTTTTCGGTTTTGACCTTTATAACTCGCTTAGGAGTCAAATCCGAGATCTTCTAAGTGAGCAACAAAAGAATAGTCCCAGAGGCATGATTTTGATTTGTCGATTTTGTACTCCTTTATTACTCGTTTAGGAGCCAAACGGGAGATATGCCAAGTGAGTAATAAAAGAATACTCCCTGAGAAATGATTTCGGAGCAATAACTGAGATTTTTTCGGTTTTGTACTCCGTTATTACTCGCTTAGGCGCAAAAAGCGATGTCTCCTAAAAGAGTTATCCAGGAGTATTCATTTTGATTGATAGGGAAGCTATAGGCACCTAGTTCAAAAGAAATTGTGTTGGAAAAAATTTATCAAGAGGAAAACTATAGAAAATATTTCATATACATACATACATACATAGAAACAATATAAGGAGGATGCAATAATTTAATGTCGATAGCACACATTAACTGAAGTTCTGTCGGTATGTATTGCAACTTTTTTTTAAATTTCTTAAATATTGTATTATATACCGCTAAATACTTTTCAGATTGGCAAATTAGTATCAGCACTTATGTATGACCCCCTGGTTTTAACGTTCATATACTGCTGGTCCAGAGCTTTTACTGAGTGACATAGATAGATTTCAGATGGGCAAAGTAACCTTCACATTGATCGTGGTTAAAACAATAAAGGTTTATACACTCTCCCTATTTGCGTGAGCTCCAGAACACCCAAGCATACCTGACACATAGGAAATCATGTAGTTATCTTAACGTTTTATTATTATTCTGATTGACTTTTACTGCATTTGCCGTACCTATTGGCATCTGTTAAGATCTTTTAAATAATATTGTATGCATACATGTGATTAAAAACTTAAATACATGTATAAATAGCAATATCTTTTCGTTAAGGAAAAGCTCTTTTATTGCTCGTACAGGAGGCTTTCGGGATGCCTCTTATGGGAGCACTCCCTTATTGCTCGTTCGGGAGGAATATGGGATGTTTTTCTATGTGCACTCCCTTGTTGTCGTTTTGGGAGATATAGGGGAGGTTTTTATGGGAGTACTCCCGTCTTGCTCCCTTATGAGGTTTGTGGGATCATATTTCTGAGTGTATCCCAAAATGCTTGTTTAGGAGGTAAAAGGGATTACTCCCCCTCCTAGGACATACAATGGCAAAGGGAGTACACAAAATTACATACTTACACACATGAGCATAGGGAGCAATGGGGAGTTCCATATAAAATATGTACATAAAAAACTTTGGGCACTTTGAGCCACAACAAAATATTTTTTGATTGCAATATAAAAAAAAAACGGGTGTAATTTTTTTCGGTATAGAACAATCCTAGGGGATGAGAGCACTAAAATTACTTTCCCCTTCACATGAATTTTTGGACCACCCTAATGTATCTACGTATAATCATATATGTGACTTCTCTGTCTATTTCATTCAGATTGCTGTGGAGGGTTCGGCGGATCCCTTAGCTGTGGTGGAATTCCAAGATATACAAGAGAATGTAACCGAATTAAAACCTACATTTATATTTGAGCCTGAATTGGATTTACCAATGGATGATATCAAATTCGAAAACTTGGCTGTTTCGTCGAGTGAAGAATCAAACAATATCCAGATTGTAAGCGACATTGCCAATAGATCTCAGCTTATCAAAGAAACAAAAGCAAAGGCTCGAAGGAGATACAAGGGGCCATATCAATGTGAATTTTGCGAATGTTCTCTTAAAACAAGAAAGGAGTGGAAAAATCATATTTTTGAAGCTCATAAGAGTAATTATGCTATGTTTAACAATACTTACCTTCTTTTAAAACATACTAATTATTTATTCTTTTATAGGTGAAGTAATATGCATGGAGTGCCAAAAAGTATACGATCTGCCAAGAGATTTGCAGAGGCACAAAAAGCTGGTTCATGGCACTGAACCGTCGATACAGTGTCCTTGGTGCAAGAAACCCAAACATTTATTAAGATGCCAAATAGTCCAGCATTTCAAACTGAAGCACAACAATCCATACCTCAAATATTTTCCCCGTAAGCGAGTGATGCGCTCTCTCCAATTATACGAATGTAATTATTGCTATCAAGACTTCGCTTCCATGCCTGAATTGGTTGAACATATAAAAAATCATACATTTGACTGCCCTGTATGTTCAGTACGTTTCTCAAAAAAGACAACCTGTATGGCCCACATTAGAAGGATTCACAAATACACGGCTGATATTTTGAAACCAAGTTTGGGTGGAACTGTCGAAATGGAGAAGCCATATAAATGCACAAATTGTTCAGCAGAATTCAGTTTCGAAAGAAATTTTCATGCGCATCTTAAGAACGAGCATCATGACCAAAACAAAGAATCGGAAAATGAAGGAGAATCCCCTTCTGATTTAAAAATAAGTAGCATGCGCTTTAAAAGAGGAGCCACCAAAGAAACGACTGATAAAAGGGGAAAATATGAAAACCGAGTGAATATTACTACTACATCTTCAAATTGTGGTAGTTCTGCGAAGGATTCAGAAAGTGATAGTGACTGCAGCGAACAGGATGCAATAACCAAAAATAAAAGAACATACCTTTGTTCTTATTGCCGTATGTCGAAACCTTGTTGAAATGAAATTTGTTCATTTTCTCCATGGGTATATTAATACGTAAACAAATTTAGCTTCAATGTCATGATTAGCGTTTAGGACATTATTTGTTTTTTTTTTTTTTATATTTTACCGAAACGGTGATTTTTTTTTCAAGTGCTCTTAATATTTATAGGTCGATTAAGGATAGCAACTGAACTTCAGTTTCGTGGCCAGTGGCTACAGATGGCAGCTGAGTTATTATATTGGCAATTGAAATTTGGTGGTTGCCGCGGAAGTCTTGATTTATTTATTTATTTTTTCAACTGTTTCTGCAGTTTAATTACACTCAAATCTTGGTTACTGGTACTTTAAATCTCTTATCTTCAACTTTGTAGCACCTTTGTGGCATTGACCAATTGGGTTTGCGTTGCTATCCATAATCGACCCATTAAATAATATATTGCTTTGAATTAGGCTTGGGTAGTGCTTGAAAATGAACTAAAGAACTACTTCATCTCAATGAACTGAAATTTGTCAGTGCTACTATTTCTCATTTTGGATCGCGCTCCAAATAATTTTGGCACAAGCGTATTACGTAAAAACCCATCTTTACAGATACATTTTAAAACGCTTTTGCTTTGTTGCTGCTTCAGTTCCTTCTGAACGATTTTTTCGGGTGCAGGGAAACTATTAAACTGGCGTAGAACGCTTTTAAAATCAAACAAGCTCTCTAATTTAATGCTTTTGCACAGCAATACATATGTAAGTGTTTACATATCGTACATACCTACAGCCTTGGCCAAAAGTATTAGGCTGAGATTTAAATTTTTTTTGTTTGTTTATTTAATGTTTAATGTTTTCTATAAAAGCTAATGTTTTCTATAAGCTTGTCTAACAAAGAACATATAAATCCAAATTTCAAACTTTGTGCAGAAAATATAAAAATTCTGAAAATCTTCACCGAAATTTCAAACTCTTTATTCAGGATCTTTAGAAAAAAATGTGTATGCAGTTTTGTAGCCCATTAAATTTTAGTATAATAAAGTGCAAGCTTCTTGGTTTTTAATAATTTTTTTCGCAGACGTGTTGTGCATATTCCTCCATAAAAGAAATTCGAACATACTTTTTATGAAAGAAAATGCGTGACAGCGTCAGCGAAAAAAATCATAAAAAATGAACGGGATTTTTTAGCAACCTCGGAACTTGTACTTTATTATACTAAAACTTAATGAGCTACAAAACTGCATACCAATTTCTTTTTCAAAAGATTCTGATTAAAAAGTTTGGAGTTAGGTGAAAGTTCGCATATTTTCCACACAAAGTTTGGAATTTGGATTAATATGTTCTTTATTAGACAGTGAGCTAGGCTTTTATAAAAAAATATTAAACATAAAATAAACAAAAACAATTTTAAATCATCATATATTGGTGCCTAATACCATGATAAAAACACAGCAAGGTATAACCGTTCTCTCAATTTGTCGGCCATGATTTTTTTTTGAAGTTTGCCAACATTTTAAAATCATATAAAAGTGAAAATAAAAAATTTAAATTGTTCGAAATTGTTGTTGCTTGAGATTGAAAATGAAATTGTGTGTGTGAGTAAGTTTAAAAATTAAATTGTTTGGAAACGTCAAGAATTTTAAAAGTGCCTCTCAGCGGTTCTACCTTACTATATTTTTATCATGCCTAATACTTTTAGCCTATAAACATTCCATGAATTTGCTTAAGCTTTTGTTGTATGTAGGAACTCGTTTATTTGTATTTTATTTGTACGAAAACATATTTATGTATTTACATACGTGTTTTATGTATGTGAATTCAAATTACCAAAGCTTTCTTTTTGAATGTAATATGTATGATAGTAAAAAGAGTGGAAGATATCGATCGACCTATCTCAGCTGCCTGTTCGAAAACGCCTTATCTCAGAAAACGTTTCAAGAACGCCCTATTTCAGAATTTGGTTTAAAAACCCCCTATCGCAACTAAAAATATGTTGAGATAGGCCGTTTTCGAACTTGCTGCCGACATAGGTCGATCTTCCACTGAGGTGTCGATATGTAAATGTATTCGTCAATTGAACTATATGAACTGAAGAACTAGTTCACTAAGGTGAACGAACTACAACTGAACGGTTCACTCAAAAGAACTAAACCGTCCACCTCTATTTTGAATCATTTATATTTCAGCCAGACAACTATCCTCGCCACGTGCTGTACAAACACATGAAATGACAGTCCACTCGAGTGAAGCATCGAAAAATAAGGAAGAATGCCCGGTTTGTCATAAGAAGTTTTATCGAGCTTATATAAAAAATCATATGAGAACAGTTCATGTGACAGAGCGCAAAAGCGTTTGTGATATTTGTGGTGATTCCTTCAAAAATAATGCCCAACTTTGCGTGCACAAGCTTCTACACAAGAAGCGCAACTTCCCATGTACTGTATGTGAAAAGGCTTTTACATCCAATAGTGTACTGAATATACATATGCGCAGTCATACGGGGGAAACGCCATACGCTTGTCATCTGTGTGATCGTCGTTTTAAAATTAAAATATACCTTAAATATCATCTACAGCAACACGCTGGCTTCAAAAGGAAGTGCGAGGAATGTGGTGAGGAGTTCAATCACATTGGACAATTGAAAGTGCATATGTATAAGCATAAAGGCATGCCATATAGATGCCCTGTTTGCGATTATGCCACACCGAGACGAATTTAGTAAGCATTTAAAAAAAAAAAAAACCGATGACAATTATACATTTAAATGTTACATATTGCAGCTTTACAAAACACTTGCTGAGCGTGCATGGTATGACTATGTCAGAGGACGAATTGAGCGATATGTTCAAAGAGCATACAGGTCGATACCCTCGTGTTAAGAATTCTGCAGGTTTGCTAATGGAGGAAGACAACATCAACGAAGAAAATGTTGCTTTAAATGAGTATTAATGCTGTTTAAATTTGTATATTAAACAAATTTGACTATTGTAGTGGTTAAAACGGGTAATTTCAAAACAAAAAATACAACCGACTTCAATGTTCAAATAAAAATTTGTGAGTACCGTTAATCATTCTGATCCTTTGGGATTTTCATTGGTGTTATGAGGCAACCAATGATATAATCCTATTATCCTTTCGAAATTAAAAAGTATTGACAACGCGTTGAAGTTTGCCGTTGATGTTTGTATTCACGACTTAACTTAACGAACGACTGCCGAAGAGACAATCAGAATAAAGGTGAATCGAAACTAAACCAAGTTAGTATGGGACCACCCTTGAGGTATAACCTTTCCGCTAAAAAAGAAAACGGTTCACGTCGTCCGATGTTATCCGGTCAATATGTCCTGCTTTTTTGAAGTCGGTTGCAAAGAGCCAATATGTTTTCGCTCTACGCAATTTGGCTGATATTTTGGAAAAATGAGCTTATTTTCTGCAACAAAAGGAAGGGTTCGCCCGGGGCGTGTCCCCTACCCTTTTCACATCACGATTGTCAGCAGAGGTCTGTGCATACAGTGCACACCTGCACATTGTAGTCGATACCGATCAGCTGATGCCAGCAAAACCAGTATATCACACGGTGGAGACATCTACCCACTTTGCAGTACGCAGCTCTACCTAAGGTCAACCTCGTTTCTTAGGAACATCATTTCTACACCCAAGCACAAATGCTGGTGCTGAAAAATCGCACACTATATGTATGTACATATGTACTAATCTTAAAATTGTTTTAGCATATTTCATTTTTACTTAATTTCTTCATGAATCTTTAGTTTCATCTACAATGAAGTCGGCTAATGTCTGCGAGTCTTCGTTGTCCTGCGCCTTGAAGGTGGAGTTGAAATGTATCGCCTTCCCCGTATACTTGGCAAAAACGGCGGCCAATTCATCTGCACTCAAATTCAGATTATGTGCGCGCTGCATATGGTTTGCAAATCTAAAAGTGCAAAATAAAAATATTCAAATATTGCACGAATAAATAAATTTAATTATAATTCTTTTACCGTAAGCGGCGGGTGAATCCAACATCGGGACACAATTCGCACCGATAGGGCATGCCGGTGTGTTTGAAAAGATGTTCCTTTAGTTGATTGCGATTATCGTACAGAATACCACAATAGGTGCACGGATGCTTGACGCCCTCATGCCGTTGCAGGTGGTATGTTAGCCGCACTTTAATTGCAAAACGTTTATCACATAAGTGACAAGCATACGGCAGCTCTCCGGTGTGCGTGCGTATATGCACATTTAAATCAGCTTGTCGAGTATATTTACGTTGACAGTGAAAACACTCGAAAGACTTGTCTTCGTCATGCAACATCTTGTGTGCGGTCAATTGCCAGCCGCTCTTAAATGCATTACCGCATTTGTTGCAAACGTGTTTGCGTTCCGCCAGATGCACTCGCTGCATATGAGAACTAAGATCTTTTTGCTGATAGCATTTGCGCTTACATATGCCGCATTCGTATTTCGGTTCTTCCAATTTGACTAGATGAACGTTGTGCTCATGCACACTGAGTGATTTTGCATTCGAAAACTCACGAGCTGCAATTTTTAATCGGGAATTTTCATAATTGTTGCGATTTTATAGTATGCAAACTTGATAAATTTTAGCAGGCGAACTGATTTAAATGTATCGCTTGTCTAAAACTATTCAAATTAATCTTAAGTTAGAAAGTAATATCTGTGTAACATAAAACAATTCCGATTCATCATTCTCACGGCTCTACAGAGTTTTATTTTTGATAATTTAGTAGTTTTTTTTTAAATATACATATATGCATATTCAACATAATGTAACTATCCGACAATATTTTCAGCTGTGAATCACTTCGGATTCTAGTGCAATATCATCTGCATTGATTAAAGTCCCGTCCTCCTCAGTAGCCTCCTTCATAGGTTCTCTGTCCACATGCTCTTCGTAAAGGTCAACACGTCGAATACGTGTCGATTTGCCAGTATTTTGCTGAAACATTGCAACAAGCTCCTCATCGCTCATACTGGTGCAGTGCACACGCTGTAAATGCCTCTTAAAACTGGAATAAAAGTAAAATAAAATGAAATCAAGAAAACATTGCTAGGATCGTTTTTTTTCACCACTACTTACACATCCCGATTCGCAAAGCCATGGCCATTGCATCTCTCGCAGCGATATGGCATTCCGGTGTGTTTATAGGTGTGTGCTTTTAGTTTTTGTTTTGAATTGAATTCCGCATCACAATCTTTGCAGCGATGCTTGATGCCATAGTGCTTCTGTAAATGGTAGGTGAGTCGTACCTTAATGGCAAAACGCTTTTCGCAAAGATGGCAGGCAAATGGTAGCTCTCCAGTATGAGTGCGCATGTGTACATCTAGATCGAACTTACGCGCATAACATTTCTCACAATGCGGGCATTTTATATTCTTTTCCAAGTGCAATTTCATATGATTGACCAATTGGTTTTTAAGCTTGAAGCCATTACCACAGATGGGGCAGAAATTATCTCGCTCCTTGTGAGCCTGCTTGCGATGTTGCTGCAACAAATGTTGTGTGGCATAGGAGCGATCGCAATCGGCGCAAATATAAATGACATCCGACGATGCACCTTGGTGCATTTTCTCGTGTTGGGTGAGAGATTTTTGGTTTTTACACTCGCGCGCTGGGAAAAATATTGAATATTTATATATACATATTCTTTCATAGAAAATTTCCTTCTTAATAAAGGTTTCTATATTTGATGTATTTAGTAACGAATTTTGGTCAATATGTATTTACGAACGATTTTTCAAAACAGTATTTTAACTAAATTTACAAATGATCATTCACCTTCGCAAATATTTTTTCAGGTAAACAAATTTTGAACACTTTTTAGTTAAGTTTTAAGTGAAGTAAAATTTTAGTGGCCCTGTTATTATACCTCCAACCAAAAAGACATTTTACATGTGCGAACAACAAAATAACAGGGCTACTTTTTCTCCTTACTTTTAAATTTTGTTTTTGTACTATAGCTTATAGTTAGTGCCAGATAAAAGGCGAGGAAATGTAACAAAATACAGCTCTCAATCCGAGTAATCAGTCTCTTTTGTTTCTAAACCTTAGCAGATTGTAATGCCAAATGTGCGCAATCACGGTTAGATGCTAGTTTTCACATATGTTGCGGAAGTTAGATTTTTTCTTCTAGTTTTGGTTTGGAAATAAGGGACTGATGCTTTGTATTTTGACGTTTGAAAAGCACCCATAATTTGAACTTTGGAAAACTGTATTCGGGTTTAAAAAATATGTAGTAGAGGTAGTGCTATTTTAATTTTCATAGCATTATAAGCCATTTTGCATTCAGATTGAACATATCGTCTCGAGACATGAATAAAGACGCGGAAGTGTTTTGACGGCGAAAAAGGACCTAGGAAAATGTACGAAAAAATACGCGTAGTAAAAACTTCGGCGAAGAAAGACTCCTAATACTAATTGACGGCGAAGAAAAACGCGTATACATAGATTTATACCTTGCCAAGGACTGTTACTTCAGCATCATTCCCCCAAAACTCTTTGGAGAATTTATATACTGTTACACCCGCAAACATAGTTGACCGCGAAAATAAGTTTCCGCGTCTTTCTTCGCCGTCAAATATGTAGGTCCTTCTTCGCCGAAGTTTTGTTTTATGAGTCTTTTTTTTTCGCGGTAAATTTTTGAGCTCGTGCCTTCACTCGTGTCTAGGGACGATATGTAAATAGAACAAGTAATACAAAACAAACCGACTTCCATTCTGATATAAAATTTTAAGATTATCGTTGATTTCTTCATGATCGCATGATGGGATCTAAATCAAATTTGTATGTGACCATCTGTGAGGTAACACCTTTCCTTTGAAAAAAAGAATTGTACAAATCGGTTAACGTTCTTGGTCCAAAGTTATGCGATCACATACATAAAAAAAACGAATATCTTCCGACGAGTTGATAACCTTCTCCATTTTTTTTAAGTCGGGTAAAAAGACAATGCGTTTTAGAAATACAAACCTTGTCAATTAACAAAGCGAATATTTCAAAGTTACTCTAAAAATGATAGCCTATTAAGTATTTCTTAATATACGGCTTGGATCATATTGAATTAGGGTATACAGATATATGTACATACGTCGAATACGGTGTTCGCATGAGGCGATTTTACAGGCAACTTTTAGTTGAAAGCAAAAATCGCCCGGTGTGAACGTCCTTTCAACTAATCGCTTCCAATGAAGTTGGGGTGCAGCCAACTTTTGATTCAACAAATCGCCTCTAAAATTGCCTGAAAAATCGCTTCATGCGAACACCGTATTAATTTACACATAATTTATCTTTGTACATATACAGTGAACCAAATAAAAACTGGGAGACAACGCTCATATTTTCATTTTAGCAAGTTTTGGATTTTTTTCTTTATGAAAATATCGCTGACAAACACCATATAAATCCAAATTTCAGATTTTGTGGAAGAAGTTATGAACATTCTGCAAATTTCTGACTTTTTAATGAGCATCTTTAGAAAAAATTTTGGTATGCAGTTTTCTAGCCCATTAATTTTTAATATGATAAAGTGCAATTTGAAGTAGCTACGACTTACCGTTGATTTTTGGAAATTTGTTTGTTGGCGGTGTTACGCATTTTGTCCATACAAAGTATATTGGACAATTTGTTTATATGGAAAAAATTCGGAACACCGCCAAAAAAAAAAACAGCGGTAAAATAGAATGGGCTGAAAACTGCATTGATACCAAAATTTTTTATAAAGATGCTCATTAGAAAGTGAGAAATTTAGCAGAATTTTTATAATTTTTGTATAAATATGGATTTATATCGTGTTTGTCAAGTAATCAGCTATAATTTCATAAAAAAAAAATAATAAACTTAAAATAAGCTAAAGAAATTCACCAAAAACTTGCTAAAATATCGCGTCCCAGTTAATATTTGGTTCACTGTATGTAGCCATAGAAAATTTCATATGCATACATATTAGGTTTTTTTACTTACAGCAGTACGCGCAAAGGAATTTATTTTGCGCCTCATTTGCCTCACGTTCTTTTCTAATATGTAGTGCCATATGCTTTTCGAAATTTCGCCGAAGTAACTGCTTCTTACATATTTCACATTGCATACAGGTATCACCGGTTTCATTTATAAGCTTCTCATATTCTTCAACATGCACACCGCGCATATGTTGTCGTAAATTACTGGTTGAAGCAAAACGCTTCGAACAAAACTGACATTCATGCGGCCGCTCATTTTGATGAATGTGTCGATGGTCACACAAAGCTGCTTCTGATCGCATATAACGCTTGCACACTTCACATTGCCATGGAGTCGTCTTCATCGGGTCATTCAGCGGTCTTCCTACCGTAGGAAAATGTATGTGATATTCCGCTGGGTGTTCAATACGATAATGCTCAACCAACTTAGAGCGTGTTAATGGAGCTATAAGTGGGCAGTGTCGACACTGAACAGGGTAACTTTCAGGATGTACTAATTCGTGGTGATCTTGTAGTTCCTCAGGCGTTGTAAATGTTTTTGAACATTTATCACAATTGCTGTTTGCTGAGAAATAAGATAAATATGTATGGCTTTCAAACATTTATGTCAATGTAAATGGGGATAACGTTGTAATAATTAACCAAACTTACGTGGCGATTCTTCCACTATTTCTTCTATGGGCGTTTCTGTGCGGTGGCGCAGTTCCACATGTTTTTCTAACGCATTTTTACAACGAAACGCACAAAGACATATTGCACATTTGTAGGGACGTAATGAGCGATGCATATTCATGTGTCCTTCATAAGACACATCCCCGCATAAAACTCGCTTACATTCTATACATTTCCATTTCGCACCGTTGGTAACCGAATCCACATTTATCTGTTCCTGTTCATTTTCTTGATATTCTCTTAGGTACTGATCATCATTTTCGTCTTCAGGATAACATTCCCCTGGGTCTGTTTGTGGTTCAAGCCTTTCTTGCACATCTTCTACTGCTGAAGCATCTTCGTATTTACTCTCAATGAGCTCTATTTCCTCTAAAGAGTTTTCATAAATCTCTACTTCTGCCTTTTCGATCTGTGAAATTTTAACATTATACATAAATATTTATGTATATATATATTGAAAGCATGATTTTTGCAACCTCAATTTACCTCCATAATTTCTACAGCGGTATTTTCTTCTTCACCCCCTTCGTTAACTTCATCTAATGTAGGTTCTTCATCCAAGAGTTCCTCGACCACACAATCCTCACTTTCACTGTCTCCAACTACCTCCAAAGGTTCCATTGATACATCACCAGATGCGGACTCTAATGTTTCAATCAATTCATCAGCCATTAATTTCTGTGACAAACTTTCTCGCAGCATTCTGTCAGCCTGTCGTGCATTTTGCACAAAGTTGAAAGCTACTTGAAGATCTTGCGAGCAGTTAGTGCAAAGCACACCAGGCAATCCGTCATAGAGTCCGGCATCTAGCTGAGTACATAAACTGAAGCAAGAAAAGAAATCGAAGCCATCTGATATATGGGACTCCATGCGTATAAATTCTGCGTCTTTAGTATTGAGGCACGCGCGACATTGAATTACCATTTCATGTGCACAGATAATTTATTGTTAATAAAAGAAAATAAAAAACCAAAATTCACCTAATAAATGCAGCTTATTACTTACTAGAGCTGACGTTTTTAAATCGATTAAATCGAGCATCGATTTTCGAGACCTTCCGATTCAAATTTTTGTAGATTTTTTAGTTCTGATTCGATCCGTGAATCGATAAAAAAAATCGAGAATCGACATTCGATTTTTGCTCAGTCGATGCATATGAAATACGGTTTGCCCAGAAAATCTATAAAAATATAAATAAAGTAGAATTTAGGGCTAGAACAAAAAAAAACATGAGAGAGCAAAGACCAACGAATTCAATGACCTTTCTCCGCCGACTATAGGGTTCCTCAGGGAAGTCTATTAAAAATAAAAATAAATAAAATTATGGCTAATACTACAACAAAAACTCCAAAAATTGTAATTCCAAACATTACGCAAATTTTCATACAAAATTTTTGTCTCATCTGTATTAGAAAAAAAACTTCCCAAAAAAATGTACAGTTATATTAAACAGGGCTAAAATTGGGTGTTCACTAGGCATTAAATGAAATAATTTTAACCCCTATCTTGGGCATTAAACATTACCCGTGTCATAGTGTTGGTTCCATATGGCATTTTTTAAATGGCATACATTTTTTATTATTTCGTTTCCTGGCGGAATGAATCATCATATCATTGCCTTAGTAAAGAAAAGCTTTATCTCATACTTTTTTTTTAAATAACTCCAGATATTGAAACCGTTATGAACAACGTATGTATGTATGTTTTAAACTTTCCTTCTGTACAATAAAAGTTTGGTCAAATTGCTATGTTTTGTTTCTTTATAACAATTAATGCAAAATACGTTATTTCACAAAATATATGAATCGACCCTAGGAGATCGATTTATTTCTTGACGATTCCTTCCTGCATCGATTATTTTTATTTCGATTTGCACCGATTCAAAAATAGATGTTTTTTATTTCGATCTGGCATCTTTATTATCTATTAGGCATGTTCAGTCAAAGAGAATCTCATGGTTGCATTGCGAGCGTTGTAAATAAAAATATAGTCAACACCTAACTTAAGTGCAGTTTTTTTGACAGATGTTCCATGGAAAAGAATGCCAAAAAGCTGCTACTAACTTTGGAGTCGTTTTTATTTTGACTATGACTATATATGCCTCATAAATAATAAGTGAAAACAAAATTTATTTTCTTGCAAAGATATATGGGGTGTTCACAGTTCGTTCCAAATAGTGTCTGAAAATGTAGACGTCTACATTTTAAGACGTTTTCTAACCGTAAAATCTGTGGTGTTGTTGTTTTCCATACAAAATTGGAAAACGACGCCGTCTACATTTTGTCACACTCAAAGGTATGTTTTTTACGCGTCTACATTTTGCAACCTCGCAGCAGGGTTGCATTATGGCAATACTAATTACATTTTTTTTTATTTATTGGGCACGTTTCTTGTATTTGCATTTAATTTGAATGCAATTTCTGATGAAAAGAAACAAATCAAGGAAAAGAAATAACATATATTAGGAATTGGTAATTAAGTTAAATAATTACAATTTTTCAGAAACAAAATCGAAAGGCGATATATAAAAAATGCACGCAAAGAGGAAATGTCTGGCAACACCAGCACAGTTTTGAGACGATTTTGCGACGACTGCTAGAAAGGGGTGCTCACAGTTTGATGCTAAAGATGTCTCAAAATGTAGACGTCTACATTTTCAGACATAATTTGGAACGAACTGTGAACACCCCAATAGTTACTAACAAATAAGAACTCGTGGCTTTACTACCTTCAAAAGAGGCCCTGGTTTGTTAGAGAGAGCCGATAAACAAAGAGAGCACAAAATAGTAACTTGAACCAGAATCAGGGCTGCCACGGACAAATTTTTTTACTACAGAAACCAACCGAAACCTACCATTTTTTTTGAGATTCATATTTTTTCAATGTCAAGTTCATTAAAAATTTAGATAAAATAACATTTAGTAAAACTAAAAGAGAGCTAGAACAATAGAATCAAATTAACTGCGTATAAAAATTTAATTTATTGTACAGACTTATACAAATGTACATATGTCTCTTTATGCACTCTTTCAATTTTCTAATAATTTAAAAAATGTTTATAATGTAAAGTTCTGAACATAAAATAAGTTTGGTAAGTTTTGTTTAATCTGGTAACCTTTTCTGGTGATTTTGGGAAAAAAACTTGTGGCAACACTGATCAGAACGTTTGAAAGGAATTGCGGCGCTTTCAGGTGTAAAATTCTTTTTTGAAACTTGTAAAATATTCCAATAAGCAGATATTTGTGTTGAGTGCAAAAAAGTTTATAAATGTAGATTTGTGCTAAAGTGAGGCAGTGCCCACAAACAATTGACTAGCAATTATCAAAAACTTGCAAACCATACTTGACCCATTTAAGCCGCACTCATGACTCGAAAGAAATGCTGTCAAACGACACAAATTTTATTAAGCAGCAGTGAGGAAAGCTAATCACAACCAACGAAGATAGACGCTTAAAATATAAAAACATTGTATGCTTTTCAAAATAAATATTGCAGTGAAATATAATTAACTTAATCAAAATAACTTTTATATCAACACAGATAATAAATATAGTCTATTTATTATCTGCGGCAACAAAAAAGTCTGAGCCACAATAGAGGAGCTCTCATAGAACTGAAGTGAAGCGTGCATTGAATTTGTGAAAAGAGAAAGTAGGCAAAGATAAATTACTTTTACGCCGATTCAATAAGAAAGTACACGTAATTCAAGCTGATTTACTTATAAAACTGTAAGTATTTTTTAAAATAGATATACACAGTATTAAATTTAATTTTCAATCTCCTTTTGCTTATTTAATCATGATGCATTTGTTATGCGACTTTTCTTTGTTTGAATTTTAAAGACACCATGATAAAAGAGAACGTAAAGCAGTCCCACTCCGATAATGTAATATCCAATGGAAAACCATTGGCCAACAGTAAACCTGCTGCTAATGGTAAAGTTTTACATACCGAAGCCAATTCCCTGCCACCGCAAAAATCTGTTATAACTGCGTATTTTTTATGGTTATTTGGTGGTATATTTGGACTACATCACCTTTATTTGCACCGCGATCGACACGCCTTCATTTGGTGGTGTACATTGGGTGGTTATTTTGGTGTCGGCTGGTTGGCCGAAATATTTCTGATACCCGAATATGTACGGGATGCCAATGAAGATCCCACCTTTATTAAATCATTTATAGCACGTTTGCAAACAAATCGTCGGCCACCGTACTCCGCAAAGCGTTTTGTTGGCGAGGTCATGATCGGTTACCTCTTCGGGCAGTTGCTGCTTATGGCAATACCGGAAACCATCTTTGGTGGCATAGATTGGAGTTTCCTACATTGGCTTATACCAGTGTTTGTGTCGCTGGGCGTTTGGACTGTGGGAAATATTGGGCGTGAACGTGGCGTATGGTGGCATTGCTTAATTGGTGCCGTTGTTATATATCCTGCTCGCTATTTCATCTACGACGAGACGTATTCTTTATTACTAACTGCGCTGATTTCTGCCTTAGTTTTTGACACCTATTCAAAACAATGGTTGCGCACACCACCAAAACGTCATGGCATTGCAGTGCGCTCGCTAAAATTGACTGCTGCTCTGCTGGTGTACTTCTCATTTTGGGGTTGTTTCCTTTACTTCAACGGCACTATTTCCGATGACGATGGAGGGGAAGTGCCTATACACGAAGCTCTGCGAAATTTCCTTACATCCGATTGGTGGACAGATTTTACTAAGGCTCTTAAAGATACTTATCAATATGCGCAACACCATGGATGGTATGAAACTTGGAAAGAAATTTTCGAAAGTATGGATGTGGATGGAGAACGAAATTCCTACAAGGTGTTGGGTGTTAGTGCGACCGCATCGCAAGCTGAAATTACATCAGCATATAGACGACTCTCCAAAGAGTTCCATCCGGATAAAGTTAAAGATGAGAAATTCAAAGAAGCTGCAAATCAACGGTTTATTGAAATTCAACAGGCCTACAATGTGCTAAGCAAAATTAAATCAAGTCGCCGACGCAAAAACAAAAAATCGATTGAAGAGGAACCAATCGTACTGTAGAGAAGATGAAAAAAGTGCTGCATTAAATAATTTAACAAATGTCAATTAAGAAAAAATTAATTTTACATATTATTTATAATCAGCTTACACTTGAATTAAGCGTCATTATTATTTATTAATCAGCTTACACTTGAATTAGGCGTCATTATTTTTTATTAATTTACTTAATTTATAAAAGCTTAATTCATAAAAGATAAAAGAGTAGTATTTAGCTTGATTAAAATCCTTAGAATATTTTACTTTTAAAATTGAGAGTACATACATAAGTATCGATTATCTATTTATTTATGGAGTGTCACATAATTCACGCATGATTTAAATAGACACAGTTTTTTCACAATTCAATTTTTTGTTTTATTTAAACATAAGGCACATAGTACATGGTTGTGTTTGGAATAGCACATCGGGCAAATGATTGTCACGGTACAACAAGTGAATGCGCATGTCTCGAGTAACATCATCCTACATGGAGAAGTTCATTTTCATCTTGATGGCTTTGTTAATCGTCATAATTAACCATTTTGTGTTTAGAGAACCCAACCAAACAGAGCAAATTTTCGAACAAAAGTATTGACACAGAATTGTTTGCAATTTATGCAAAGTTTTTAATTCTAAATAATTTCGTTCTGATAATTATTTATAAAATCAAAAATCATAAATATAAAACGTCTTAACTTTGTGCAAAACTCAGGGAAATTCAATAAATTGTCATATCTACTAATTTGCAACTTTCTTTTCAGATTTTCTGGAAAAATTCTAAGTATTTTGGCAACACAAGGTATGCTCAGCAATGTTTTTTTTTTGTATAGAAGAAAATAATGACACCGTCCGCAAAAAAAAAAATAATCCAAAAATCAACGCGATTTTCTAGCAACTTCAAACTTGCACCTGGTTATGAGACTGTATACTTATGCCCTTATTCATAAAAAATAAAGTAGGTTTAAAGAGCTTTATAAATTGACGTTTTCATACAAGTTTCTTTTGTAAAGCTACCTTATTTTTTATGAATAAGGCCATTAGAATTTTTTTTAGAAAATCTGAATAGAAAGTTTTAAAGAAGTATGCAAGTTTATTTAATTTTCCTGAGTTTTGCACAAAATTGATAGATTTTATTTTTGATACCTATTGCTAGTGTCGACTCTTATTCGACTATCGCTTTTCCATGGTATTGCGAATGTCGGTTTCTCGTTCAATAAACGTTTGTGAATAGTTTTTAATCGCACAAGCGTTTGTTTATAGAAGGATGTGCGACTATAAACTATTCTCACTCACTTATTGAACGACAAAACGACTTTGAAAATACCACAGATAATCTATAATCGACTAAAAGTCGTTAATCTACTACTATTACTTTTTTTTTTAAATTTTTATACATAAATACATACACGGCCGGCAAAAAGTATTGGCACATATGCTGTTTTACAATATATATATGCAACAATTTTTATTGTTATATTTTTCCGACAATTATTTATAAAAATATGGTTCATTCCACAACAAAAAACATAAATATATAATTTCTAAACTTTGGGCAGCACTCGCGAAAATCCAGTAAAATTTCATGCAAATTTTCAACTTTTTAACAGATTTTTTTGAATTTTTTTAAGTATATAGATTTGTAGACCAATGAATTTTATTGTAATAAAGTAGAAAATCCGCTGTGTCGGCCGCTGTGGTGTAGTGGTAAGCAGTGCGCGCTTCCACTCCGCAGCACCCGGGTTCAAGCCCTGGTCAAAGCAACATCGCAAAAAAATATGGAAAAAGGTTTTTTCTTAACAGCGGTCGTCCCTCGGCAGGCAATAGCAAACCTCCGAGTGTATTTCTGCCATGAAAAACAGCTTCTCATAAAAATACAATCGCCGTTCGGAGTCGGCGTAAAACTGTAGGTCCCTCCGCTTTGTGTGACAACATCAAGGCGCACACCACAAATCGGAGGAGAAGCTCGGCCAAACACTAACATATGTGTAAGCGCCAATCTATTATTATTATTATTAAAGTAGAAAATCTAAGTAGCTACGAATTAGCGTTGATTTTTGGCAATTTTTTTCCCGCAGTCTCTTCCATAGCGAAAAATTTTTCGAAACTAGTTTATATGAAAAAAATGCAAAACACCTTCAACAAAACAAAAATACTTAAATATCAATGTGATTTTTGACTCACTCCGAATTTTAATTTTTATACTAGAACTTAATGGGCTACAAATCTGCATACTCAAAAAATTAAAAAAAATCTGATTGAAAAGTTGAAAATTTGCATAAAAATTTGCTGAATTTTCGCGAGTTTTGCACAAAGTTTAGAAATTACATTTTTATGTTTTTTGTTGTGGAATTAACCATATTTTTATACAAAATTTTCGGAAAAATATTGCAATAAAAATTGTTGGATATATCGTAAAAAATGAGTTGTGCCAATACTTTTTGCCGGCAGTGTATGTATTTATGTATAAAAATTAAAAAAAAAGTTAATTAAGGTTTAAATTTTATCAAAAATAAATAAAAGCTATCTGAATATCTTTCAATTTAATTTCGTAATATTACATACATACATATTTACATATGTACATACGTACTAGGGATTAGAGATGGGAGCGGGATAGCGGGACCTACGGTACTGATTTAAAATTGGCCGGGATGTACGGTATCGGGAAGATCTGTAAAAATATGGTGGGCGGGACGCAGTGGGTGGGTGGCAGTTCGCGCAACCACTCTGCAGGGCCTGAGTTCAAGCCCGGTTGAAGGCAACATCGCAAAAAAATATATAGTTTAAAATACTAAACACTCGCTTTTATAATTTGCATTTGTACTGCATCTTTTAGGCGCATCAATATTACATAGTTACATCCCAAGCTAATATAAGCCATGAGAAACGGCTTCACATAAAAATACAACCGCCGTTAGGTGTCGGCGTAAAACTGTAGGCCCCTTCTCTTTGTGTATCAATATTAAGGCACACGCCACAAATCAGAGGAAAAGCTCGGCCAAACACTAAAATATGTGTAAGCGCCAATCAATTATTATTCGCATATGTGAATGACTCGCATAATTTTTGACATGCGAATTCAAATGATGCCAATGTGAATGTATAAATGATATTGCTGAATTGACTCGCAAGTCTGCCTAACCTGGGCTCTAATCGCCACATACGATATCGTATTACTCGTCACGTAGAAGCACACTTTTCGGATTATGACATACGTGAACGTACTCTTTATCCCATTCAGCTTGAACGACTGACGTATCACGTAATTTTATTTCGTATGGTTTTCGATCCGTGGACAGATGCTACAGGGTGGCGCCGAATTATGTTCTCTGCTATTAAGTAATTTTTTATAGTATTCCTATTGGCGGCCGCTATGAGCTAGTGGTTAGCAGTGCGCGCTAGCATTCCACAGGGCCTGGGTTCGAGCCAAGCCTTCGACTAACATCAAACAAATAAAACATAAAAAAGTTGTATCTAATAGCGGTCGCCCTTCGGCAGGCAATGGCAAACCGCCGAGTGTGTTCTGCCATGAAAAACAGTTTCTCATAAAAATACAATCGCTGTTCTCACGCCTATTTCTTATAGAGCGATATTTTTTTAAATTCAAGAAATTAGATATTTCAATAATTAAATTGTCTTCCGAGGTCCATATAGGACTGTTGCGAAGTTTTGAAAAAGGGGATTGTCACCCCACAGTGGTGTGGCTGCATAGATTTTTAAATTTTGAATGCACGGTTAGTTTAAGGCAGTAAACAAAAAATTGCACATTTGTTTTCAAATAGTTTTTATTATGTAACATTTATTAACTGGAACAGGAGAATCGATTTTCCTCAAAATTGCTATTTTTTCTGCACTTTGCACTAAAAAATTTAATTAAAAAAAAAACAAAAATCGGGCTCAACTGGTTTCTTGCAAATTTTATTAGCTTTCCTTTAATCAATTTAAGTGAAAAATGAAGGCTCCAGTGAATTATTATTGAAATATTAATGTCGTCATCGGAGTTAATATTTTCGGCTAAAAGTATTCTTAAACCTCTTCCTTTTGACAACTTTATTGCAATATTTACTTTCTCTTATCAAATTACTTAAGCTGAAATTTCCAAAGAGGTGGCTACTCTCTATTTTTTTATATTTTGAGTTATACCTCTAGCAATAGGTTGGTGAAAACTGCATTCACTTCTATGCATTAGCTTTTATGTGATGTGCGTACAAACCGACAGACAGAAATTTAAAAAATTTGTGAATAAATCCACCCTTATTAATTTTTCTTTAATATCTATAATGTACAGACATGGGTCTGCGCCATTTTATTGTATTTATAGATTTTATTGTATTTATAGATTTCCATCCCAAGTTCAAGTCCTGTACCATAAATACTTCCAGAGATATGCAGTATGGAAGATTCTGTTTATACGTGAGGTGCCACGCCCCCTTGTCTAATCGAGGTTAAAGCTACCCTATGTTTTAAGTGTACAAAATGTCATAATGATTGTTTGGGTGGTTGAAGCCTGAAAGCGTTGCAAACAAACAAACTCTCTTTCGAATTTATAATATTAGTAAGAATAATTTTAAATTTATTTTCCCATAATATGATTTTTCAGAGAAAAAATACATAAAATTAGAATATCTAATATATATGGGGTGGATTTGGATATACATAAGTATGTATTTATATATGCACATACATATGTATGTACATTAGATCGTACCACCTTACAAGCAAACAGTAAAGATCCGAAAACTCAGGAGACTTCCAATAAAAATGCCCAATTGTTTATTTAACCATTTTTTAATATAATTTTTTTTTATAGGTCCCACAAAAACCCAAAAAAAAATGCAATGGGGACCCATAACAAATAAATATTTGGCATTCCCACATTTTGCTTAGTTTTTGGCCGAACCTGTCCAGCAGTTTGTAATGTGTGATCTTAAGTTTTTGAATGGCAGATAATGTTTATGTTGGTCTTTTTTTATACAGAAACAACTCAGAGTTCTCTAATTGCCTTTTATATCTGAACTCTTCGGAGAAACCGCGATTAAGTACTTTATTTATAAGACTTTCCTATTCGAATTGTCGCTTCTTTATTCGATACTTCTCTCCAAATACTACGATACGGTCCGTATCGAGTAAATGGATTACTTTTGTAAATGTTAAATGAAGTACAGTAGAGTCTGGAAAAAGCTCGGAATAGAACACGATAAATGTCCGAAAGTCAAGAATAAATGATGACAAGTTCCAACAAAAAAAAAAAACAAAAAAAACGTTAAAATCTTAAAATCTTCAGCCTTCATGAATCTAATTTTCGTCCGAAATCGTTAATTTTTCGCTTTTCGCTCATGTGTATGTATTTCATACGGCTTGTGAAAACCAGCCGAATTTGTTTTGGACTATCAATGTCTAAAAAACAAAAAGTAAAAAAAAAAATGCCGTTAACAAATTTAAATTTTTTTCTGCTACAAAAGAACACTGGTATAAGGCAAAGTAATATTTAATTCAGCACCCTTCTTGAAATAACGCCAAAAATATTGAGTATAAAAAGTAAGTTCATATTA